TTTCATGTCCGTAACCGTTGACTAATCATCGTACTGGGTTCTTATTCTTTATTGCTTGAGTGGTAAGCTGTGAAAAGTGCAGTGTTGTTTATGAGGTCAGTAGACGCAGACCCATATATTTTTAACTCACAGTGACAGTTTCTGACTAGTTTTCTTCTGCTCTCGTTTTCGTTGATGTCTTAGTTCTTTTTCTTAGGTGTCTGCGCAATACGACAAGGCCATTGCTATGTTGGAGAAGGTTTTGAATCAAACAGCCGTGAAAAACAGCGACTTCTTTGCGATAGCTAAATCACACTTGGCTGCTCTGAAATGCCATCGGAAGTTGGAAATTGCTCTTGAGGCCCAGCATGAGTAAGCACATCGCTTAGTGATATTTTTCGCCGAGGTTTCAGTTTTTTCTTCGTCTCTTTCATAGACAAAGTTATGTTCACTGTCGACCTTGACGTTCTCTCTGAGTTTGAATACTGCGTGAAGCACTATTTATGCACAATGCAAACATATGCTTACGTTGTGCGGAAATAAAGTGTTTTCTGCTCTTTTCAGTATGACCACCAACGCATATACATGCGTTACATATACTCAATCCCATCTGGCTTGTGTTTATAGAATGGTGTTTTTAAACAACCTATACTCATCAGACAGGTATCACCTGAGATTATTATTACCTGTTTGACCGATCATTTCAAAATTTACGCAGCAAGCGTTGCTCACTCGATGGAGCGTTCGAGTTACCGTCGAAAGGACTTGACTTCGAGCCCTGGTTGGGTCAGTCGTCTTTAACATCCTTTGAAGGTAGCAAATAAGAGTTTCCACGTTATGAGGTAGCTTTTAGAAGTCACACTCCGTTCTTATCAGAAAAGTGTAGACATAGCCTTTAAGGTAAATCACTTTTGACTGATTGCATAGAAACATAGACCGACGCCTGATTATAAGTCTGGAGATAACAAGGATGCCACAAACTTTGTTCAGTAAGGAATTGTAAGGCAGACCAAAATCCCAAAGATTACAAACTCTCCTTTATTCTTTAAAGGTCTACCAAAGTCTTTTTATTTATCATGGTGACATAGCTGAATTGGCTCTCACTCTTTGACGTCAGCTTTCGAATATGTTTTCTTTCTCCACTTTGTGCGACGTATTCTAGAAATTCGAATTCGAGGATTGCCATTGATTTCGCTGTTTTTGATGGAGATTTGATTTTTATGCAGTGTAGCATTTGTGTAGCATTTTTATTAGCATTGCATATAATGTACATTTTGAGATTGAATCGATATTTATAAATCTCACCCCCGTTTTGATGGTAGGATAGCCACCGGAGTAAGCAGTTTCTTTCAGCGCTACGTACGGATCGCATCTTCAATAGCTATTGATATAGCCGTTAAGACTTGTCATCAGTTCCCTTCTGATGGTCTAAAATGGCACTGGAGTAAATGGAATTACTGGACTCCATATTACCATGACTTTTTTGTGTAACACATTACGGTACATGAAGACGATGTACTTTATTATTATTTTGCGGTAGTACGTTATGATTATGACTGTGTTGGTCAGCGGCGTTTTATTCTTATTCCATTCGTTCTGTTTTTAGAAACCTCAAGCAGGTATTAACCGAGTTACAATCATATCAGCTTCGTTTGAAGAACTTGCAGCGGGTCAACGAAGAAAGTTTTCGCTACATCGTAGACGCTGATGTCCGAAAATCCTCTCAGCTTTTGTACAACTACTTTACATACGGCCCAGTCGAAGGTATGCTACGTGTTCTGATTTGCAGAATGTCGCTTTTTTGCCTACAACTAATGATTTCTCTGACTGATGATTATCGTGTCGAACAATATTTTGAGAAAAAATAGATTAGGATAATATGTACGATATAGTATATTTAGCGTATATGCTATATTTGCCCTGAGGATGTTACCGCGTGCGAAGAGCGTGGGTATGACATCTGTGTTGTTTGGTGCCCTCAACCATGAGTCGACAGATCATCTGTAACTCGAGTATTATCTTGAACATTTTACCTACATTATGCTTCTTTTTAGTAAGTTGTCAAGTGGATTAAATCACATTTCAGCTGTAAGGCACATTAATTAGAGGCCTCGGACGTACGTCTCGATCTCCCTGGCATTAGAAAAATCGAATACCGTGCTTTCACTATTGTTCGCAGGTCAACGACTTTCTGTCCGGGTCTCAGTTGGGGGCACAGAAGCACCGAGAGGTGACGTCCTCACTTAACGGAACCGGCATTTAATAAGATAAATTTATTCATACCTGTGATTTGAATCTGACACTTATCCACTCTGTCACGGTCCTCTCTACAAACTGAGGTTGTAGGGATGTTGATGATTCCTCGATCAAAAAAAGGTGCAAATGAGAACATCATCTGCTCAGAACATAGACAGCAAGCAAGATGCTATTAGACCATTTCGGAAGGGGTTCTGCCCTACCTGTGTCTTGAGTGACATTCAGGGCTGTTTGTTAGTATCATTGTTTTAAAGACTGCGTCATTTTGGATTACTTATTTTTCTTCAATCTGTGCTGCAATGCTGTGATAGTAGTACCTTTTGCAGACAGTCACCATTCGTCAAATAAATGCAGATGGTTAAAGTACCAAGGTTAGGTGCCATACTGCTGTAAATCTGTTCATTTATCAAAATAGTTGGTTTAAGCTGCTGCTTCCGTACTTCTCAAGAATATCAGATGCAAAGTATTAACCAAGCATACGCAAATGCAGTTGTTCTTCATACCTTCCCTCCTTCAGTTAACCAGTCAGTTAGTTTGGATGCTCATCTAATTTCATTGTCTTATTTCGCCTAGATGCTTCAATTGCCATGTAAACAGAACATGGTTCCGTGGCATTTGTGCGCTTGCAGTTCGTCGATGCATTTCCATCATGTTGTTGACCAGAGGAATACTTCTCGTCACCGAAAATGTTTAAGGAAGATTTACCTTCACAAAACATCTGCGTTATGAAATCTGGCTTTTGATGAGTTAAGTGGCTAAATAACATATTTTAACTTATGAACTTTTATTTACGATGTTTTTCGAATGCATAAAAAAGTACCGTCATTAAACAAAAAGAATGGTATTGGTCTAACCAATGAGATGATACAAACTACGTTAATACACTACAGAGCATGAAGGTTATTGAGCCCTCGTCTGCTTAAAGATTTTTTTTACCTATTGGCACTTTGGATGATATGCTTGGAAATAAAATTTAAGATTCAGGTTTTAAGCACTTACTTATGTGCATTATTTTTAAAAAGTAGTGGCTACAGCTTCATATAAGTAATTACTGTCTGCACTAAGAACTGCTTATAAGTTGATGTTATGTCGTCTTATACGTTGATGTTTACATGCTTACCAACCTGTCGGCGTTTGTTGTGTTTTGGTTTCTGCATGAGAAACAACATATTGCCGTAATAGGAAATAGCAACTAATGTTTTCCATTACATTTGAGAAGTGTTTCTGACGGACTTTACAACAGCCTGATTTATTATTTAAGAAGCAAATGGAAATTGCTACTCCCCATGACTGTTCAACACGTTAGTTATATTTAAAAATGACGGTGTTTCGACAGGTCTAAAGGACTATATAATTAGATTTAAGCATGGCGTTGTTTATGGCACACTGCGTACATTACTTTGAACTGTTTCAAGGTCTGGAGTGTAACGTTGTCGGTCAGGGTGGCCGAACGCCACATATAAACTGCGCCATTACGTCACTGGCATACTACAAGGCCCTGCACAAAAAGGTTGTCGAAGAAAAGAATTTTCTTCTGACCCTCAACCAGACGTCACAACTGGCAAGCGAAAAGGTGTGTGAATCATCGTTTGGCTGTAAATGTACGTAATTGAAGTTGTTTCAGCCAAGATATGCGAACTGGCAGCACAAGTCACCTTTTGGCGATGACCAGCCGATCGCCATCGACTTTGACAAAGAGAAGAGGTTCTTGAATGCCCTCGCTCCTCTGCGTAATCTTCAGCTGAATGAACCCACTAAACCTAAGCTGTTTCCACGCAGCCACACTGACGCGGCTGAATTGGCGCAGCGATTTTGGGACAACAATTCGTGGCCGTCTGTCAATGAGTGCAAAGAACTGGAAAACTTCAAGGTCGATCCGTTGGATAGCTTCTTCCTATCGCCGGAAAATAAAGGCTTCGAGTAATTACAAAACAATCTTTTGACATTCTGTGTAGGGAATTGCTTTTAATGTTGTGAGATAGTTTCGATTACCGATTATTCTTTCAGGTCATGAGACAGTTTTTAAATGTCCTGTGTCAGCGTTTGAACTTACGGTAAAAGCAATCTGAGTCTCGAACCGAGTTCTTCAAGACATAT